GCCCCGCTGTCCCCATCCCCATTTGCAGAACCCTCCCCGGGGCAGCCGGACAGACCCTCCCCGAGGCTGCCAGGGCGGAGCGGGCTCTGACAGGGCTTTGCTCTCCTCCCCTCCACCAGCTCGAGGCACTGGAAGCCGTTTTTGCTCAAACCCACTACCCCGATGTGTTCACTAGGGAAGAGCTGGCCATGAAAATCAACCTCACGGAAGCCAGGGTGCAGGTAAACATTCTGGGGAATTATTTAACTCTCGGGTATTCAAACTTTTTCTTTTTTTTTTTTTTTTTTTTTTTTTTTTTTTTTTTTTTTTTTAATTTTTTTTTTTTTTTTTTTTTTTTTGACATCATGACTGCAGAGTGCACATTTGGCCAAAGAACGCAAATGAAGACGATCTGTCATTTTCATGATGCACTTTAATAACATCAACATAATGTGGAATATTAGATTAGGTTGATTAATCGGTCATTCATAATTAACTAGTGATAATGTTCTACACTAATTTGTCCGCGTCTCCAAGGTACTAAATTACATCAATGCACATCCATTTCCTTGCTTTTGGAGGGGGTGTGTGTGGAGAAAAGAGCTGAGACGTGATTCTCCAAAGCAACTATGACCACTGTCGAGCAATGGGGTTAGCCAACTGCAGGGAGCCCAGCTGCCAGGAAGAAATCTTCTGCACCTCTTCAACTTTTCTCCCTTTTGCCTTCTTTCTAAACGCTTAATTTAGACAGCTAAAGAGCCCACAGAGCAATTCCATACCTTAATATGATCCAATAAATATCATTGGCCATGATTACTCTCTTTCCACCTCCACTCTTTTCTATCCCTTCCTTTCTTCCTTTCTTCTCCCCATTTCTCCCCCCCCCCCTTTTTTTTTTGATCCAGGTGTTTGTTTGTCCTTATCCAGGAATTAACTTTGTGTGTGTACAAGCTCTGCTAAGAACAGCAGTCCTGCAGTTGTCAGAGATGGATCCCTGTAACTCTGCAGGCATCCGCCAGAGTTGCAAGCCATTTTTTGAACACAATTATGTATTCATTTTATTTATGGGGCTTTTCTGCGCACTGTTTTGTATTTTTTTTATTTAGGTGCTTGGGGTTAAGACTATGCAAAGATCTAATTGTAGGAAATATAATAGCTTGCCTTTTGTTCCCTAGGGTCATGTTAGTATCTCTTAAAACCCAATGGCTGAAAAGAGATAATGGAATTCACCGCAGTAAATTGGGGATTGTAAACAAATTATTTCTCCTATAATCAGATTATGCGATCCTGATTATTAAATCTGAACGTGAATCATTGGTCATATGTGGGCAAATTAAACTGATTATTATTTGGAAATGAAAATCTCCTTTTGCCACTGCATTGTAGGTACTGGCTTAAAAAAAATAAAAAATGCTATTTTGGCTATTGGTGCCTAAAGACTGAACTGCAAATGGAGATAAATGGGACAATTATTGAGCATTCAGAAGTGGAAGATCATAACTTCTTCCTGAAAGGTGCAAGGGTGAGATAGGGGTGGTGACAATTAGATTGCTGAGGACTGGTGTTTAGCCTTGTTGTTGGCTATTATGCAAACAGACAATAGATGCAAGCATTTGTTTAGCCTGCTTTCATGCAGGGACATGGGGAAACACGGAGGATGGGAGATATGTTTACATTTATACCCCTTGCTCATTCAAATATGATTAATGTGCTATAAAGCAGAGTCTTAATCGAAGATGATGTTGTCAAACAATAACTAAATAGGGAAATAAACGACTTCATCATGCTCTTTCCTCAGAAGCAGGCGAACTGTCAGTGCAAAGTCATTAAAATATGATAATGAAAAATAGCTCAATTAAATGTTGTTATAGCTGTGACCTTCATTCAATTAAGACGCAAGAAAGTGTCTGCATTTTGCTTTGCATTTAACTGCTCTAAATTTAGAATATAGATAAAATCATTATTCAACGTTTGCTGATACATGCAATTAAAAGGCAGCTAACTAAAATAGAGTTGTAGGAGGAGAATAATAATAATAACAATCTTGCCTATACTTGAAGTCATGTATTAAAATGTGGATTTTCTGACCTCAAGAGAGGCTTGGCATTTTCCACCTCAAATAAGGTGCTTCCAGAGCATCAGCTCCAAGGTAAATGGGAAAAAAAGCATTTGGACTAAAAGTAGGGGATAAAATCAAGAACGTTAATATTTGTGTTGCATTACAGGGAGAAAATAAGTTTTGGAAACTGGTACATGTTAAACTACGGAATGATCTTTCAAAATTAGTATCTACCACTTTTTGAGCCCTCTAAATGTAGACTGGAGAAATACATCAGAGGAATAACAGAAAGTATTAGTCCTCTCCAGGAAACGGGCTGGATAAGATGGCCTGATACATACCTTTTCATCTCTAACCTCTCTGATTCTAGCAGCAGCTCATTTAAAGACTTATAAATGGTTTTGTCAGAGTGCTTAGATACATATTTAGGTCCATCCCTATACAAAAGGCTTTTAGACATGTTAAGACATAAAAATCAGGGAGAATTTAGCCTATGCATAAAGGCAAGCATACGTTTAAATGTTTTGCCAACTGGCACAGTAAGATAAAAATAATTTGTTTGTTGTTTTTTTTTGTTTTAGACATTTCTGGCTTGTTTTCCAGATGCAGAAATATTCCAGATACAAATGTAATCCTAAGGCTCAGCTAGAATAACAATGGAGATACAAAATAAGAGGAAGTTTTAGCCAAGCTTCTAAATGACATATTTCACTGAAGTATCAATTTACCATTTCCTTGTTTCACATTTGTCTAAACATGGTATTCAGCCTGGATTGCTCTCCTGCTCCAGGTGTGGTTCCAAAACCGAAGAGCTAAATGGAGGAAAACAGAGAGGGGTGCTTCTGACCAAGAGGGCTCTAAGGAAACAATGGCTGAGGTGGCGCCTCCTACAAGGAATTTAAATTCCCCTTCTCCAGCAGATCAAACCAGGAATAAGAAAGAGAGTCTGGAGATCCAGCAGAGGTAAGAGTAATACATGTTATTAACTGCCTCTCTTTGGGGCAAGCGTGCATCATATGTACGTACACACATAGTGATTTGCCTCCTGCTAAGCCTTGACCTACACACTCCATCTTCAGGTACAGCCCAAACCATTAGAAGATGAGCTGTCTCTCTTGCTACTCACTGCTCCCCATGGAGATGTTAAGAAGCTCTTGGCTGTGGGAGGCTAATGTTATCCAGGCTTGGTCCCATTGAGTTGGACACTGAGAGACCAGCGTGTTTGTGTGCATGCCCATATGCTGTCTTTGGAATCAGCTAGTTCTGTTTCTGTAAGGAAGTTGTTTTCTCTTCTCCATCAGCCTGAGTCGAGCAGTGGGTCCTGCAGGACCTTTCTTCCCTTCCTGCCTGCCGGGGACTCTTCTCAACACAGCCACCTACGCACAAGCTTTATCCCATGTTGCCTCTCTAAAAGGTAAGCGACACTGTTTAACTTCAGGGATGAGCTCAAAGAGCAGCTCTTTCGAGCTAAGTGGCATGCTCCCACTTGTACCAGTGGGAGAAGCCTTTGGGAAATGGTGGATCCTTCTTTCTGTTATGATTGGCAGCACTTGCACTGACCAACATTGCAGGTACAGGAGTGAGTCTCCCATTGTAAACAGTAGCATAATTTATGCCAAAGCTCCTCCATTTTACTTGGTTTTAGTGAGGTCAGGGTTTGTCTCAAGGAGCAAGGCAGGTAGGGTTTGCTCCTTTAGAATTTTCTTTGTGTGTACTTTTTTTTAAGAGTCAAATTTATACTAATAAATTAGTTATACACATCCTTTTGCATTATACATTACCTGGCACCGTTACTGGTGCCTCATCCGCTCTTTGCATGTGGTTTCCTTTGCAGTACATCTCTGCACAATGCCAGCCCTTTCTCTTCTTGAACAGTAGGTCCTCTTTGAGAACTTGAATAAAGTGTGTGCATGGGTATAGGAAGGGATACCAAACTAATTCCTCATTACCTGGGACTCAGGCTTCAGGAAGGGTACATCCAGTGTCCATATCCTTTTCAGTTCCCAAAAAGCAGCAGTATGCATCTTTTAAAAATAAATCACCAGCTGATCCATTAGCTGTTCCTAGTCTAACAATTTATAAGACTAAGGGTGTAAGCAGGATGAATTCAATTTATAGATTTATAGGATGTAAAGCCTTATAGCACTGCCAAGCACAAAGTGGCACATACATTTACTCTATGCCCTGATGTGGTGCAATAATTTGTGAGCAAAAGTTTCCCAGTTTAAGACCCTCCACTATGAACAAAAATGTCCTCTAATACCTCTCACTGTGTTGTCTGGCTCTTTGTGAGTATTTCCAGTTAAATCAGCATTGCCAAGGGTATATTCCTGAAGCAAATGCTTGAAACTGATGAGTTTTGCATCACTATTCCCCCTTCCCTCCTGTCTCTCTGAAAAAGCTGAACCCAGGCACACCATACAGCTACTGCTGTTTTGATAGCTGTGAGACCTGTGATTTTGAATCAAGAAAAGCCACACAAATGTGACCTGAAGCCTAAAACTTAAAGGATGACTGTCAGCCTAAACCCCATGAGCAGGCAGTGGCTCTTGGACTGCACGAGTCCTCTTGATCTCTGCCCTGTGACTGTGAGGTCTTGAGGCAGAGACTTTTGACTTCTGTTGGGTAGGAACAGCCTCTCTGCCATAGATACAGGTGAAAGTCTTTGGGTAAAAAAATTAATCATTGATAAATGTAGTCCTGGGCAGGTTGAAAAGTGTGGAAATAAGATTGCGTTCAGTGAATAATTTCGGATGGAAGTAGGGGATTTTTTTTTTCTTAGAAGTTACATTTAAGCATTTTCAAAATTAAATGCATCAACATGTTGTTCTCACTTGTTTCATGTTTAAATTTAGCTAATTTTTAAAGAAAAATAACCCCAATAAACAAAAGCTAAGGAAATGAAACAAAACTTAATAAAAAAGAAATTTGTCATGAGGGGGGTTTTTTATTGGGGTTTTTTGGTTGTTGGGTTGTTTTTTTTTTTAGTTTTGGAAGTTTATTTGGAAGACTTACAGATATTATTTTCTGTGATTTTACAGTTCAGCCACTAAATTGAGAAATTAATAATTTGCTCCTTTTTGCTTGATGGCAGTTTTACAACCTAGGGGCAGGAAAAATCTTATTTCTGAATCTCTTGTAGTGATACTTATTAGATAGTCAGTTGGCCAGGCTAAGAGGCAGTATGACTGAAAAATTGTCCTCACATGTAAATACTGATTTTTTTTATAATTTGTGTAGGGATGGTCAGGGATGGTCAGTTATCAGGAGCATGCTTATTCTCTTTATGAATGTTGTCAGCTACATGTGCAGCTCATTTCTGAGATGCCTAGTTTATATTTCCTGCCTGGCACTAGAAATCTCCAGATATGTGCAAGGGATAATGTAGTATATTTTGATTTTAAGGAATTTGGTTACAGATTTGCATATCTGCGTATCCACTTACCAGGAGCTTTGTGGAGCTGCTCATGCCTGTCAGCATATTGTTATACTTGCAAGGAGCTGTCAGATTGAGCTGCTGCTTTGAGGGGAGATATTTTTCTTCTGCAGCTATGTCTCAGTAATGTCAGATTTTGGCTTTGAGGTTAAGGGGGAAGAATTTATTGTTCTATAAGGTGGCTTTTATAAATTTTATTTATACAAGCAGAGAATAATTGTAGCACCTTCCTTGTGTTATTTACATATGGAGCATTATCTTCTCTTTCCTTGGCTCGTGTCTGCAAGTTCCTCT